TTTACGATAATAATAATAATAATAATAATAATAATAATAATAATAATAATAATAAAAACATAAAAATTTTTTAATGTTTCCGGTTGTGAAAATTATTCAACGTTTTATTAACGAAAAAAAAAAAAGGGGAGGGAGGAGGGGAAAAGAATAGTATACTAGATTTAAATAAATTTTTAAAAAATATTGTTAATAATATTTACGGTTAATTATTTACATAATGAAAACTCATTAATTTTTTAAATAATAATAATAATAATAATAATAATAATAATAGTTATTAATTTTCTCTCATAACGAATTTTTTATTTAAAAAAAAAAAAAACAATGGAAAATTATTTTTAAAAATAAAATTTTGACGAAGGTTCGAATACGGACGATTAAAATACAAAAAAATTGTAATGATAATAATAATAATAAATGATTGAATTATACGATGTGACAAATAATTAATTAATTTAATTAATTAAATAATAAAAATTTTATTTTTTATTACTCTACTATATACGATAAACTGTCAAATAAAATTTACTTAAAATTTTTTTGGCGCGACTTAAACAAACAAATTTTTGTTTGAATACATTATAATAAAAGGCAATAACCGTTATTTTAATCCTTATTATTATTATTATTATTATTATCACTTAATTATATAATAAAAACGGTAAAAAAGACGATGTCCACGATAAGAAATATAATAACAAAAGGAGTTTAAAAAAAAAATGAGAGGGAAGATGAGGGATGAGGGATGAGGGATGACAAAAAAAAAATTTAATGTTCGTTTTTTTTTAAATAATCATTTTTCTTAATTAATCTAATAGTAATAATAATGATAATAATAATAATCCGTTAAATTAAATTCCGATAAATGGATTTAAAAGAGAATTAAATGAAATTTTCCATGAATATTTAATTTTCTCTCCAGAAATCTCTCTCTCTTTGTCTCTCTCTCTTTTTGTCTCCATCTCTCTCATTTTCGAAAAAAAAAAACAATTTTTTTTTTTTTTTTTTTTTTTTTTTCACGTTTGATTAAATGTAAGAAGAAATTAACAAATTCGAGGATATGTATATATCGAAAGTGATAATAATGATGATAACAATGGTAATAATGATGATGATGATGATGGTGTGGATGATGTTGATGATGACGATGATGATGATAGAGATACCGATGATGATGTTGATGGTGATGGTGATGGTGTGGATGGTGTGGATGATGATGACGATGATGACGGTTATGATGATGATAATAACGATGGTAATGATGATGATAATGTTACTAATGATGAGGATGATGGTGTGTATGGTGATGGTGATGTTGATGTTGATGATGAGGATGAAGATGATGATGGTGTGGATGGTGTGGATGGTGTGGATGATGTTAATGATGGTGATGATGATGGTTTTGATGATGGTATTGATGATGATGTTGGTGATGGTGATGGTGTTGATGATGATGATGATGATGATGATGATGAAGTTGATGTTGATGATGTTGATGATGATGTTGATGAAAATGAGAATGAAACTTTATTTTTTATTTTTTTTTAAAATATTTAACGAGAATTTTTTATTTGATTTTCATAATTTTATTATTATTATTATTATTATGAATGTCGTGAAGGTAGGAGAAAATGTTTTAAAAAGTTTTTTTCCTCTTTCTTATTCTTTTTCTCGGTTAAATTTATAATTTTTTTTATTTATTTCCGTTTTGTTTGTTTGTTTAAAAATGATTTTTCTTCATTTTTTTTCCATTTCGTTGAATTTTACGTATTACAATTTTTTTTTTTTTTAATTAAATTTTAAGTAATGATAAATAAATAAATAAATAAAATGTTCATTTTTATATATATTGAAAAAAAAAAAGTTAAAAAAAAAAAAATTTTTTCATTTAAAAAATTGTCAACAAATTTATAAAGTAAATTTCAAAGTGTAAAAAGTTGGAAAAAAATCTTTTTTTTTTTACTTTTTTTTTTAGGCGCGTGTTTATTTATAAAAAAAATTTTTTTATATAATCTTATTTAATTTTATAAATAATTTTTACAAAATTTATTATTATTATTAAAAATTTTCCTCCGTGAGTTTGTTTTCTTTTTTTGGAGTGAATTAAATAAAAAAAAAAATGCGTTTAATAATAACAGAAAAAAATAATTAATTAAAAACTGGAAAGGAGAGGAAAAGGAGGAGGAAGAGGAGGAGAGAAGAGAAAAAAAAATAGAATAAAAATTTTCCGTACTATTAATTTTTACATAAAAATAATTTTAAATAATTTTTTTTTTTGTTTGCTTGTTTATTTAATAAAATATGTACATACGTAGAAGAAAATTTTTATCGACAGATGAAATGAAAATTTCTGTGAAAGCGGAAAAAAAAAAATTTCGAATTTTTTTAAAGATTTTCCAGTGAAAAAAAAAATTTTTTTTTTTCGTTTCATTTCCGAATGAATCGATTTTTAGATTTTGTCTCACTTTTTTTTTTTTTTTTTTTTTATATAAATGTATAAAAATAATGATAATAATAATAATAATTTGTAAGGGCGTAACATTATAGCTTCTTTTTTTTGGGGGGAAAAGGGGGCGGAAAGGAAAAAAAAAACTTTTATCCAAAATGAATTAAAAGGCCTCGAATGTTGTTGTATAAACAAAAAACTTGAGTTGGATAAAAAAAGTTGAATCTTTATAACAAAATTAAAAATGCCTTATCAAATTACTAAAATTCGCAAGTTTTAAAATTTCATAAAGTAAAAAAACCATTTTTTAACAATTTTTACTTAACTACTTCCGCTAAAAAAATTTTCATCTTTTTTTTTTTTTCGGGATTTTCTTTGCAAAACCTGAAAAAAATTTAAAAAATTTTCATTTTTTTTTTCGTTTTGTT